TATATTCAAAATAAAAAAATATTAGATAATTTGATTCTCATTAGCTACATAAGTCTATAACATAAAAAAAAACTGTAATATTAGATCTAATTAGCGCAGAATCAACTTTGCATTGCTGCCCACAATCGCATCAAAGATCAGCCAAATTTACAGATGCAATATGAAAAGTGGATGTTTAGGAAAGTGTTGCAAGTTTTTGTGCCACCTAATGGTTTAAAGGAGAATAAAATCAAATTTGCCTATTACCCTGGTACGCTTTTAGTCCTGTTGAAACCCTAATACTAGACTGACCATTGATGGTTTTGATCTCATCATGATTAGTTTATATATAGCATAGTTCAAGCTTTTATCACTAATAGCCACAGAGTGGGTGAGTAGTGTTTGATATATAATGGTTCCTTGAATGAAGCACCTGTTAAGCAAAAGTCAGTCTTTCAATCCCATTCTGTCTCTTTCTCTTGATTAGAAGCGCCAGTTATTTGCATTCTTCTTGATGTCTGCCCAAGGCTTGTGCAGTGGTTCTCTTGAACAAGATGCCTGGCCTGTTCGTCACTGCGTGTCTTTGGGGCTTGAACTTCTCTGTGCTCAGTCTTTTTCTCACAACTTTGGCCTTTATGGTGTGTTTTGTAACCATTTGTAACTGAGCTATAGTTTAGATATTACTCCAAAAACATGTCTAAATGTGATTTACTCATGAGTAAATAATCTTGGGCTACTAGAATTATATTGGATATTCACGTTGACAGGCGAGAGAGTGGGGCATCTTCTCTGCGTTTTAAAGCAGAACCTGCTGGCTGTACAATCTCAAGCTGAGAAACTTGTTCAGACGCTTTGGTCCTGCCCACCGATGGAAGGGGCCAGGGTGGTTGCCACCGTATTAAGTAATCCTGCCCATCTAGTTGACTGGTAAGACTTAATCCCTTCATTCACCTCTGCTCTAGTTTGCTGCTAGTCCAGCATTCTAATAAGCCTGGCATTGTACGCTACAGTGGGTAAAGAACCGCCACTCTTTAAAATAATCACATCTTTTATCACTAATAGCCACAGAGTGGGTGAGTAGTGTTTGATATATAATGGTTCCTTGAATGAAGCACCTGTTAAGCAAAAGTCAGTCTTTCAATCCCATTCTGTCTCTTTCTCTTGATTAGAAGCGCCAGTTATTTGCATTCTTCTTGATGTCTGCCCAAGGCTTGTGCAGTGGTTCTCTTGAACAAGATGCCTGGCCTGTTCGTCACTGCGTGTCTTTGGGGCTTGAACTTCTCTGTGCTCAATCTTTTTCTCACAACTTTGGCCTTTATGGTGTGTTTTGTAACCATTTGTAACTGAGCTATAGTTTAGATATTACTCCAAAAACATGTCTAAATGTGATTTACTCATGAGTAAATAATCTTGGGCTACTAGAATTATATTGGATATTCACGTTGACAGGCGAGAGAGTGGGGCATCTTCTCTGCGTTTTAAAGCAGAACCTGCTGGCTGTACAATCTCAAGCTGAGAAACTTGTTCAGACGCTTTGGTCCTGCCCACCGATGGAAGGGGCCAGGGTGGTTGCCACCGTATTAAGTAATCCTGCCCATCTAGTTGACTGGTAAGACTTAATCCCTTCATTCACCTCTGCTCTAGTTTGCTGCTAGTCCAGCATTCTAATAAGCCTGGCATTGTACACTACAGTGGGTAAAGAACCGCCACTCTTTAAAAAAATCACATTTTGTTGCTTTGCAGCCTGAAATGAAGATGGGCACAGCTTTTGTTTTATCCAGCTGTATTTACTCAATGCAACTTATAACATCCAAGTGAAAGATATAACACCAATATTTCTGAAAAAAAAAAGAATAACAAAACAATCACCCCCTTGGAGTTGGAAAAAGGATCACCCCCTTGTGTCAGTATTTTGTTGAACCACCTTTTGCTTTAATTACAGCCTTTAGTCT